GGGTAGTCCATCAGAACTTACGAGTGGTCTCATCTCGGTTTATAATTTCTTTGATGGCCATGTAGTATTAGCATGAATATAAATTGTAATTGTTAAATCGCTCAGAGTGAGCCAAACATTCTTGTCAATTCACCATTTATCCCGTATCATCCTATATGCCGTTTATACCTTGATGTCTTACATTGTTTCTATAAGAGGTAGTTAATCGTATAATTAATGAATGTGAGTGGAATTCTAAATCTGTCTATCGGCGCCGGGTGCAAGTGGCACTTCTTGGAACTGAGTCTTGCCTACATCATTAAATGCATACCACGACAATCCTGATACACGCCGTCCTTTACCTCGTTTACTTGTCAAGACACTTACCTGGTTATTGACTAGACTACCAGGCACTAAGAGGAAAAGGCAAATGGTTTGACGATTATGCCACCCTGGACTCTTCAATGTCCTGTGGCAATCTCAGAAGCAAGTCTATGATGTAGATGAAGCACTTGATACGAGGAATTGACTAATGGAGGGGTAAGTAATGCCCATCCTGAGAGTCACTCGCCGACCCTGCGCACAGGACTGACTGATGCGCTTTGGCTATTGAAATCATCACATTATTGGCACCATTGCATCATTTTCTCAAGAGAGTTCGTAGCGGTGGCACCTATTACCTATAAGGATTCTGATTGGCCGAAGATATCGACTGGGCGACATAGGAACCCAAGGTTGTCATATGCCTAGGAGCTTCTCAACAAACTAAACTTTAGACCGTGTCCATTCAGACGAGGCCATCATCGTTGGAGCTCGCTGGGTATGACGTACCGCCCATCAAAGAACTCTTAAAGAGTCTCTCCACGACAGGAAAGATAGACCTCTCTAACAAGCTTTATATCCACATTATAAACCAATTAAATATGTCTAGTGTTCAAGAAACCTACGGAAAAGGTGGCGCTGGTACGACCACTTTTCCGCAAAAAGCTGCACCCCGATATTGACTCATTTCATTATAGGCAATGTCAGTAGGAACGTAAACCATGCAATCGAAGAGGTCGAGGCCCATATTCCAACCGAGAACACAGCTGGAAGAGGAGGCTATGGCAACATCCAGGAAGGACCAGGGCACTACGATTATGCCAGTGGTCACGCTGGCCTCGTCGATACTACTGGGAGAGGCGGATTAGGAAACTTACCAGAGCCTGGAACACATGCTACTACAGGCACCACCGAAGGTACCGCACCCTTCAAAGCTGAAGCACACAAGGAGCAGAAAGTGACCGCAGCTGACAAGGTCATTGGTACGTCACCCATCTCTCGAATTGGAATAATATCTACAATATCAATGCTTATGTTCATTTTGGTTCTTTAGGCTCCGCCCAGATCGCTATCGGTAAAGTCACCAAAATTACTGGTCTCATTGAAAAGGGTACAGAACGGAAGGTGAGAAGGATTGCCACAAAAATCTTGCCATATTAATCTCATTATCATTAATGGAATAGACTGAAGGTTCCCTGCACTCGACTGCTCCTGTGCCACCCAGTGCTGCTCACTCTGGGGCTCCCCAAGAATATGGAACTTCCACGGACCTCAAGAACAGTGTAGATATAGTTGTATAATCACTTATATTTGTATTAAACAAGATTGTTAACTATACCCTTGCTTGGAAGTAAGCATGGTGGTCAATCGCGCTGTGAACCGAACCGCAACCTTGATTTTGTCAAGATAGACACAGCCGTTCACACCACACACATAGTCTCAATGAGTACTCTGTGAGTGATAAAACAAACAGCTTTGACGTGGGTTAACAAGTGGCAAATGTGGCGCTTTCTTGCCTGATCTAGTGCTGATGCCAATATCCAAATATCGAGTTAGTAGTAGTGCTGAATTCCAGTCCCATGCGACTCAAATCTCAACTCAATTTCAGGTGTAAATGTTACTTTGCAACGTCCTATCAAAGTTCGTCCTTGCATCAAGCTGATCGTCGACGAAGCGACAATAGGCAAGCATGACATTGATAAGGGACAGTTGAATATTACATGGAACATCGAACCAAACTTGTATGTATCTCATTAAGGGATCGGACGATGTCCCGCTTACCCTGGTGTAGTACCTTGCAGGAAGGGAAGACGCTAATCATCCGAGTGTGCGAGCGACCATGGGTCCAACAGACATTAACTATTGCAGAAGCATCTATTTCATTTGACGATGCCTTGAAAATGCTATTTACTAGCTCGAATGATCGTAAATCTCCTGATTATCCCATTATTCAGATCCTGAGGACTGATGCTCTGACAGCTCTCGAACTCAGGACGAATCCAACAATCTCCATAGGTATCAAAACGGTCAGAAAAATGCTAATGCCGCATTATTCTTACTAACTTAGCCAACTATTAGGACACTCGCTCGCGTTTAGAATTACTTCAGAAGGGAAAGGAGGTTATTAGCAAACATAAGAGTATTCTAAGCCGTCTAGGAAACTCGCAAAAGTTTCTCGAAACACTATTGAGCTTTGGACTCGCCACATCAGAGGTAGGATCGCGTTGTATCAAAAATTGGCAGTTACTGAAGACAATATGGAGTTACATCCTATATCCAAAGCAATTCTTGGCTCTATCAATGTTCTTTATCAGGTAACCTAATCATTTCACGAGGGTTTAAACATCTGCTTAAGTTACTATCAGCGCTTTGAGGAGCAGGAACAGAACAACGAGTTTATACTCCAACTCGTAGACAATATTGCGTCTACGATCGGCTATATGGAAGACGTGGAGCAGTTTGCAAGGATTTCCCAACTAAGGAAAGCGATCGAGGATACTCGCCCCCTCATTGAAGAGACGATCAATTTCATCCTTAGATATACTTCTCGAAGCGGAATAAGTATGGGAAAACATTTCCTCCTTATCCA